ACCACATAATGGAAGATAAATAACTTGATAATTAGTGGACTGTATAATTAGGTGGACTGGATGATCGACTGGATAGGGAACTAAAACACACGCGCTTTTCACTGACACTATATTTACAACAATTTACACAATATTTACACTATTTACAATTACTACTACAAGATGACAAGAAGCCAGAGCTTGCTTAGATGCCCAACAGGGCAGAGCTAGATTATAAAATTTATTAAAATGTGAAAAGGTTTCTGGATGCTTGTTAACGTGGACAAGCTCCAAGCTACACTGCTGCAATGACAAAAATGGCGCGCAATATATTGACAGACATGACAAAATAGACATGACGACAACGCTGCAGTGTTGCAAACTTTATATGTATAAAAATATTTTGCCATCAAAAAGAGATAGCATGATTGTTGGAACATGTTTCCAACACGAGGGAACTCCACTATTCACAGTACATTCGGCAAAGAAACATACCCAACAACCAGCACTTTTTTTCAAGGAGAAACTCATGATTGCTACTTATAATGTCCGAACGCTACGGCTCCAAGAACATATGAAAAGACTAGAACAAGAATTACAATACATAAACTGGGACGTTCTAGGTCTGTGAAACAAGCCTAAAGGGAGATTTAACTAGCTCTCTCAAATCTGGATACTTATTATATCAGAACAACTCAGAAACAAACTGTCAAGTAGGAGGAGTAGCTTTGATGGTAGACAGACGCCTAAAAAACAGAGTAACTAACATGCGATCCATTTCACCCCGAGTTATGTACATCATGTGAAGGGTTAACAACAGATAATACAAGCAACAAAAATAACCAACCGTTGAGGCTTTGAGTCGGAAGAAAACTACTTTTCACCGTATTTTAAAAACTGAACTAGGTTAACCGCCAACACCCACACCAGGAGTAGACAAACTATGCAATAAAATTTCAAATAGTATTCAAATCGCAACAAGAAATATATGCTTTAAGTAAAGGAGAAATTTGAGCAAAATCAGCCCACACACAAAAAAACTAATGAAATCAAGAAAAGAAATGGATCGAGAAAACCAAGGATATAAGAACTTAACAAAGAAATAAATAGAAACATCCGAAAAGATTAAAGAAACCATAACAATGAGCTAATTCAGAACACAATCGAAGACAATAAACGCATGAAAGTTCTAAGATCCAAACTATCAAATGGAAGGCCAAAAATGACTAAAGCAAAAAACAAGCAGGATATTATGGTTAGCGATCGTAGTGAAATGGTGACTGCAGTTCAAGACTTCTACAAGCACCTGTACAGTTCTAAAGTCCTAGGGCCGTCAATATCAGAGGAAAATAATACAAAATGTAAGATCCGAAGAGGTCCCTGAAATAAATATCGGAGAATTGGAGACACTACATCAAATGAAAAACAGAAAGACTCCAGGCGAAGATCAAATCACGAGCGGAATGATTAAAATAAGAGGTGAGACGCTGATGGATCATGTAAGATTATTGTTAAATGAATGTTTAACAGAAGGTTAAATCCCAACTAAGTGGCAAAATGCAGAAGTCATCCTATTATACAAAAAAGGAGACAGAAACAACATAGATAATTATCGAGCTTATTATCGCATTTATATAAACTGTTATTCTGCATGGAGTACGGATTTGGTATTCTAAAATCAATATCCTGGAAAGGTCTTATGGGTACGATTTCTTGTTTGCAAATTCAGGAAACAATGATACTCAAACTTTTCCAATGTTATTTCAAAGAATTTTTCCTTTAATTACTTTTCGGACAAATCCCCAATTCTTTTCAATGTACCTACGCTTTTGCTCTCAATTCCATTTAATATAAAAATACAAAAAAATAAAAAATTAAAAGGGGTAGCGTGCTCTTTCTATTTCTCCCTGAAAAAACTTTCAAAACAGCCATGTTTGTGTATACCGTTTAATTTGGGTTTTCTTTTTGGGTCAAAGCGAGAGAAAAGGTTTTTTAATTTGTCGAAAAGCTAACAAAAAACGCAATTAAAAGAGGATACCGTCATTCCTAAAATGAATTTGTATGATGAGCACAAAAGTTTTTTTTATTTTTTCAATGAAAATATAAAAGGAATATCGTTTCATATTTGTATAAATTAAAAAGTTGGAACAATTTTTTTTAGTGAAAATTACTTTGATCTCAAATTCAGTTTTTTGTGTACATACATCTGAGTACTTAACTAGATTTTCCTGATATCAGATTAAATTCAACCAAAAATTATTTTTGGACGAGCTCCAAATCAACCCGGTAAAATACGAACATGCAAATACCCTCTCACAAAAGGGGTTTCCTGCGGAAAAAAAATATAATACACCTTTTAGACTCCCAAACTGCACGAGGGTGGTTTTGTATGTAGGTATACAATAATGCTGAGAGCCCATATGGATTGGAGAAAATGTAAAAAGTTTTTTGGTAAACAGCAGGCAATAGGGTGGTATTCAGAAACTGTTTGCTGATGTCAAAATCAGGAGAAACCAGTGTAAATTAATTTTATTTAGAGACTTTTCAAACTAACAATAGATTGTGAAGATAATAGATATAGTGTATTTTAGGGACCTGCGAATGACACAGAAAATTCGATTGATCGCTGAAACGCTGACAGTTTAGGTTTAGAGAATGATCGATATCGAATAGCTTAAACAGTTGGTTAAAGCAGGCACAAATAGGTAAGAACAAAAATAGGATTTGAGTGATGTTAAGTATCCAGAACTGCTCCAAATTCACACTAAATTTCAGTTTTTTAAGTAATTTGTTCTATTGAATGAATTTCATCTGCTAATGAAATTGTTTGTTTTCTTTGAAGTCGTAGAAATAAATGTGTTCTGTTTCGGCATTTTGGCCTAGTTTGGTTGTTCGAATGAAATGATAGGCGGCGGTAGTTTTCTCCTCGGCAGTTAGCGTTCTGTCTGATCATTCAAGCTTAGAGATCGAGGTTGGTTGCTGCTGCTTGAGGTCCGCAGTCCCTACCTTATCCAAGGAAGTGTCTCTTTGCAGCATTTGGCACGTCGTTTGTAATATTTGAAATGTCACAAAAAAATATTTATTTTTTTTAATTATTTTTATATATTTTGGACTCATGTAAAAGTACTATTTCGTAGACCCTTCGTTTTCCTAACCTAATATAGAGAATTCTGTTGCTTTCGAGCCACCTGTAGCTTGACAGACAAAGAAAGAAAAGACCGAACCAATTTTGGTACTGACTTGCCCTTTTTCTCTTTTGTCTTGGGACCGAAACAGATCGTCCAGATTTTCAGAATTAATTAAAAATCCTAAAAATGTATCTTTGTTTTTGGCCATCGAGTCCATATTCTTGAAAATTAACTAGCCAGAAGAGTGCTTGATCGTGTCTACTAGAAAGTTTCCTGGAAAATCAACCGATTGTTGATTGTTATGAAGATTTTTGAAAGTGGGGTTACTAGCGGCCGTTCAAGTATGTGAATTTATTTTTCTCTCTGATGAATGGGTCCTTATATCCCCTCAATTCATTCAGGCACCTTTGGCAGGACGTAAAATCCGTGACTGCAGTTCTACAAGTGAAAATTGACAAATTTCAGACCACGCTGCCCTGAAACTCAGAGCAAATCTATGCCCCCTTTTCGAGGAAAGTTTGTGTTCTGTAAGAAGTTGATCTCCAACCATTATTTGGTTGTCTCTAGCCAGTTTGGTACCTCCAGAGCTCAAATTTGTGAAAGCTTCCGAGGCTTTACAAGGATTCCGTCCTGGCTTGTATAATTACTTACCTATGGGTATCTTAAACGTGCCATCTTAATTACCGTAACTTATTTTTACCTTTTCTTTATCGCCCCCTATCGTTTAGCTTTATTATAGACTGTGAGATAGGGGCTGTTTAGTGAAGTCATTTTTTTTTGTCTGGCATTTTGAGGGCTGAATGTGGCTACTAAGCTGATGAGAATATGAGTGATTTTAATGCCTGCCTCCCGTTCGAAAATTTGCAGAAGAAAAAAATTGATTTACATGAGAATTTTTTTTTTAATGATCTCAAATTTTTTGGCTTCTAAATAAAAGATTGACATTGATAAATAATTCACCCATAAAAAATACCAGATGCTTTTCAATAGCTGAAAAAGTGGGGATGACTGTCAGCTTTCAAGAGAAAAGAAAAGAACCTTCCACGTTTACTTTTTGTCTGGTAATCGAGAGAATGGAAGGTTTTGTTGTGAAAATATCGCTGAAAAATCGCCAGACGGTAATCCCAGTTCGAAGTCGAGTTTTCCGGCGAAACATTCTGTGGACATTTCGAACAGGTGGCAGGCATTAAAACCACCTATATTCTCATCAGCTAACTAGTCACATTCATCCCTCAAAATGCCAGACAAAAAAAAATTACTCCACTAAACAGGCCCTATCTCAGGGTCGAGCATTCTTTTGTTCCGACAAAAGAGCGTTACACGTTGCGATATTGGTACTGGACACTGAGGTTTCAGATACGAGTCAGAGGCGCTAGCTGCTTCATTTGGTCCTGGTAGCTTCTGTCAAATGTCGATGGAGTAGGCGGAGCCACTCCGGAAGACTGTCGCTCATGGGTGCCTAGGCTGAAAGTCTGCTGCAGTGGTAGCAGTGGATGTGGCTGCTCCCCAGGCTCTATCGGCCCGGAAGAGTGGCCTCTGCTTGTCTGGGCGTTTGTGCTTGGGATGGCTACAGCATTTTTTCCAAGAAACGGGATGTTTCCGCCCCGCAGTTTGCGCACTTAGAGAATTGTTGTTCACACATTTGTGAGGAGCTTTGCAGTTGAGACTGGCGTGCCCATAAAGCTACCAGTTCTGGCATTGGCATATTCTGTCCTTTGTATTCAAGTTAGACCGTGATCTAGACTATGGAATCATCAAAAATGTTATAGTAAAGTTGTGACTGATGCTTGGTAGTTATTAAATTTCTAGATAAGTGTTTTGATGGATTTTTATCTTATTTTTTATACTATAGTACCTACATGAAATACAAAATATCATTTAGAAATAGCCCTTCAAAGATAAATCTTATTTACAAAAATCCTGAGGTAATCGAAAAGATAAGTATTACCAGCCTATAAAAGCAGATTACCTATTTAAATTTTTTGGTTATCATTATCAACATGAAATTGTTACTATGCTGTTGTTTATTAGTCATAAGGTAACTAATCTATTCTTAAGTAGTGATATTAAGATTATAGGCATTCAAAAAATTTCAGTACGCTGGCTGACGACTATGCCGTTAGTACCAGAAGATTCCCAAAAAACTTTAAATGGGGTACTGCTTCAGCTGCCTATCAAGTCGAAGGAGGATGGAATGCTGATGGTAAAGGAGAAAATGTTTGGGACACTTACACGCATTTGTATCCAGAAAAATCCAATTACCAAAATGGCGATGTAACGTCCGATCATTACAATAAATGGCAAGAAGATGTTGACTTATTAGCAGGTTTAGGAGTTAACACTTATCGTTTTTCTATTGCTTGGTCCAGAGTATTGCCAACAGGTTTTGTCAATTCCTCCAACCCTGGTGGGATTGCTTTCTATAAGAATCTAATAGCAGCTCTTAAAGAAAAAAACATTGAACCCTTAGTTACCATGCACCATTGGGACTTACCAACTAATCTTGAAAATCTTGGTGGTTTCTTAAATCCTGCAATTCAAGAATGGTTTTTGGATTATGCTAGATTTTTATTTGAAACATTTGGAGACGATGTGAAAAATTGGGTTACATTTAACGAGCCTAAACAAACTTGCGAACAAGGGTAAAATAAATTTTGCATTTCTATTCAATCCCGAACGTATACATATATGGAAATTTTTAGATATGGAATTGGTATTTTGGCTCCCTACATCGTCGGTCCTGGAGTTAAAAATTACCAGTGCGGTCATAATCTTCTTATTGCCCATGGAAAAGCTTATAGAATGTATGAAAATGAGTTTAAGGGAAAACAAGGAGGTGAATGAGAATTAATTAGATGACTAGACACACTCATGTCATATTTTAGGTCGTGTTACCATGGTGGTTGACAGTAACTGGTTTGAACCAGCTTCAGACAGCGCCGACGACATTGGAGCTGCTGAAACGAACTTACTTTTTACTGTAAGCTAAAAAATACTTAGTACAGGTGAAGAAAGAGTCCAAATTATCTTTTTAGTATGGCTGGTTTGCTCATCCAATCAATTTTGGAGACTATCCAGATATAATGAAGCAAAGAATCGCCTATCGATCTAAATTGGAAGGCTTTAATAAATCTCGTCTTCCAAGTTTTACTGAGAAAGAGAAAGAGATTCTCAGAGGGACTGCTGATTTTATGTGTGTGAATATTTATACTTCTTCTATGGTCAGCGTAAGTAAATCTTGTTGAGGTATAGCCTATAGAATTCCTGAAACTTCTTGAAAGTTTCCAAGTAGTTGCAATTTTGTGAAATGTATACCCTTGGTTTGGCGTCTCAAACAATTCAAAATTCTTGGCGTGCCGTCAGCCAGGTCAGAGGTCACGAATAACGGGGTTTTGCAAAAATTTTACTTTCTACGGCTTGGAGGATTTTAAAAGTTTTCTGAAGGAATCCATGGTTTGAGAAGTAATAGAATATGCCTATATGGAGAGTCGACACATGAGGAAATGGAGCTTTCATGAGAAGGACTTTGACCAATTCACAACGTTATCTCGAATATCATGCAACGTGATACATTCAGTGAACGACATATCTGAAATATACAGAAAAAAAAAACACAATTTAGCTAAGAGTTTTTAAGAATTGGTAGACCTAATATTGATGTGGTTTTATATTTGAAATTTTGATTCTTAGGCTATACCTGAACCAGAAATCATACCTCTTAGTCCTACAAGAGATTTGGATATTGGAACAAATGCATATCAACCAGATGACTGGGAAGCTACAATAACTGATTGGTTTAAGGTGGTAATGAAAAATTTTAAATGTTTTTATGAGAAAATCTAATTATTGAAAGGTTGTCCCATGGGGTGCAAGAAAGCTCCTGAATTGGATCGACGTCACATATAATCACCCAGAAATTATTGTTACTGAAAATGGATACCACGACAATGGAACTGTAATTCATGATTTGGATACTAGAGGCCGTTATTACAAGGTATTTATTTGATCGAAGATTAAATAAAAAATAATATATTGCTTCTAGTTGTATCTAAGTAACATGCAAGACGCTCTATATAAAGATGGAGTTAACCTTACTGGTTATATGGCTTGGGCTTTAACTGATGATTTCGAATGGCAATATGGATATTCGTAAGGGATTTCAGTTTTTGCAAATTTATTTGTGTTACATAATTTTAATGATTGTAGCATTCAATTGGGTTTGTACCAAATTGACTTCACGGATCCAGATAGGCCAAGGACACCCAAAGACTCAGCGGGCTATTATAGACAAGTAGTTACGACCAGATGTTTGGTGGACGATGATCAATGTACGGATTAAGATTAATTGTCAAAAGTTTTAATAAATAAAAATAACATAGTTTTCTGTTTTGTTATAATATTAGTTTTTACACTTAGGTACAATCTTCTAGTATCATTTCTGGATCTTGATGACAGATGTGGTGGTGGGTGACCTGAAAGGGTCACGGCACTTTTGCCCATTGAATTCCTTGTGCATTCATGCGAAACTGTAACCTGCCTGATATAGGCTGTATTATGCCTGCGTTCTCTTAAAATGTACTTTCGCATGTCCGCTACAGAATTTTCAATAAGTGTTCGATTCATCTATAAGTGATCAATTATGGAGAAACCTTTGCGAAAACCAGACTGGCGCTACAAGTTGACAGGAGTCGAACTTTGCTGTTAATCTGTTGAGATCCCTATGTTGTTTGAGTCTCCTTTTTCCTTTTTTTAGCAACAATATGACTTCTGCTTTGCCACATTGTGGTACTTTGATCTCGTGAATATATTTATCAATGATTCCTTGGATACCTTGATCGTTTTATCACAAATCCGCCAAATCCTGTGGATATCTCGCATAGGAAAGTTGATACTGAGTTCAAATGACAGCAATGTTGATTGGATATTGGATTCGAAATAGGTACATAGTATAAAATTTCGTGTACATACGAGATTTTAATAGAATAGATGCTTAAAACCGGCTCTAGAATATTCAACAACAACAAGAAGCCAAGCGACAGCTATAACCGGACAAACTCCAGAAAATTTTCCAAGACCAAGAAGACATACGACTGGGAAAAAACAAGATCAGGACAGCCGACTGAAAGGAAAACAGAAAGAACACTTGCGCTTTAAAGACAAACTGGAAGACCTGGAAAACAGATAGGGAGATATATTGCCAGTAACCGAAATGTTCAAGAAGTCAAGGAGAAATGGAAGCATGGAAAGGCGAAATAGAGAGGTTTCGCGAAAGATTCTACAGGGAGCTTGAAAAACTGGAGACAAAATTAAATAACAGAAAAAATTGATGAGACAGAACGTTATGGAAGAGCAGCATTTGATAAGTAGGTATAGGCTGAAGAAGAATTATTTATGTGTATTTGATTTCTTGGCCTGCCCATACGGCGAAGTCCACATATTATAGTCATCAGGCATGATTTATAGACGAAGTGTTCTTATAGTCTCTTGAATAAGCTTGGACGGCTGATGTTATTTTCTAATGTGAAGGATATATTGCAAATCATTTCGTAAACACATTTATCACTCTTCTGGGCATCAAAGTTATTCATCTCTCTTACTTAAATTGTGCCCAAGTCACCATTGGCCTAGCAACGCTAGTAGAGTCGTGAGACTGCGCTCACACAATTACTTTGCTTTAGCCTTATTGTAGCAGGTGCTCTGTCTGGTTACATTCGGCCCTTCTTTAAACCTGTAGCAAGTGCTTTGTCTGGTTACAGGTTCAATTTAACCCTAATAGCAAGTGATTTGTCTGGCTTGGGTCTTCTTTCCAACTTACAGCACTTACAGCAAGTGCCTTAGTCTGGTTGTAAGTTACCTATCTTACGCTCTAGTGCAAGTGCCGTCACTTTAAGTCCTGTCTGGTATTAAGGCCCTTCTGCTCTGCTAACCTAAACCATCAGGATCAAGCAGCAAATACCATCCAGAGAACCACAGTCTCCTGGAGCGTACATGGTCCTTCGAGCCGGATTATCTGTCGGAGAAACAAGAAAAACGCTCCAAGAAGTTATCAAAGTGATCCAAAACTGCGAATTTCCATCTGAGATTTCGTCCATTAACACAAAGAAAACCGTAGAGAAATCAAGCAAAATATGCAATGTAAGAAGCATCTTGAGTAAATGTATTACATGCATCAGGTACAAAGCAAAAACCTGAGTGCAGCAAATGGGCCAATTACCTGCCACGAGGGTCACACCATCCCCACCGTTCATTAACAGGGAGTAGACTATGCCGGCCCTATCCAAATCAGAGCTACTAAAGGAAAAGGTCACAAGTCATATAAAGGCTATATCTCAGTTTTTGTATGTCTTTCCACCAAGGTAATACACCTAGAAGTAGTAAGCGATATGACGACTGATTCGTTCTTAGCAGCCTTCCGGAGATTTACTGCGAGAAGAGGTCACTGCGAAAATATATACAGTGACAATGGAACAAATTTTGTTGGGGCAGCACATTATTTTGAAGAAGATGTTCTCAAATTAACACCAATCCCTGCAAAATACAATGGTCAACCTTGGCACTAACTGGCACTTCATCCCACCGGCGGCACCTCATTTTGGTGGACTGTGGGAAGCAGGAGTCAAGTCAATGAAACATCACCTCAAACGAGTAATTGGAGAAACAAATAACCCTCACGTATGAAGAACTTACAACTTTGTTACACCAAATCGAAGCAAGCCTCAATTCTAGGCCGTTATGGCCACTCTCTGACGAAGTAGACCACTATTTCGTCCTAACTCCCAGTCATTTTTTAATTGGAAGGGGAATATTATCTCCAATTGACCAATTGACCCAATAGCAAGTAATATAGATTCCAGTTTGTCAGAGAAATGGAGACTTACCCAAAAAATGAAAAAGGAGTTCTGGAACGTTTGGAGCACAGAATATTTAGGAAGATTGCAACAAAAATATAAATAGCAAAATCAGGAAACCAACCTTAAGAAAGGAACCATGGTAATTATAAAAGAAAATACATTAAATCAAAGCACGCATAACAGATGTTCATCCTGGAAGAGATGGCGTAGTAAGAGCAGACACACTCAAGAAAGCAGACAGAGCTACATTGAAACGACCGATACATACATTGATCCCACTTCCATTAGAAGAAATGGGAAAAGAAACACTGACCACTCCCACTAAGGTTACAGCAAATATGGCCATAACCTCAAGCAGTCACAATATCAAAAGAGAATGCACTGTGAAGCAGCATGTGAAAATCGAAAAATCAAAAGTATCTCATTTTCAAATCATTCAACTATTTATGTTATGGTTCAGTTTAATGCTTCTCCCAAAATGTCAAAGCAGCTATGTTATAAAATATCCCGAAGGAGGTATTTACATCGAACAGTTTGGAACGGCAGAAATAAATAGAGGAACATTTAGAATGGAAGTCACTTATAACAGAACAAAAATCAAGGAAGACATCCAGAATGTAACTAGCGTCGTAACCAATTTTGAGATGCTGTGTAACAAGACAACTATCGGAAGAAACGCACTGCGAAATATTGGACCATCATCTAAAAGAGCAAAAACAACATTTTAGCTGGATATTTAAAACCCTGCAAGAGATACAACTTCGTCCAAAGAGAGGTTTATTGGGAAAATTTCTGACGTCCGTTTTTGGCGTCAACGACGAGGTCTACGAGGACATAAATAATATAAACAAAAATCAAGAAATGTTGATAAAAGCCTCCAATCACCAGACACAATTCATGATCTCCGCACTATAAACATTCAATACTACCGAAGAAAAAATAAATAATCAACTTCGCAGATTCCAAACAAGGCTTAATCAAGGATTAAAAGCAATTCAATCTATGAACAAATGGTTTTCAAGTATAGACATCAACAGCCTGCATATTCATGTCCTAAGCACTTATCAAATAGCAACTAACTACATTGCAGAAATAAGTTCATACTACGAGAATATGATAAATATCCAGTTTAACTGGGGAACAATCTACGACATCATATTTCCAACGTATCTTCATACTCTGATAACGGATATCAACAGAAAATTACCGAACAACTTGAAAGCATTATCAACGCCTGTGATAAAAATGTCCTTATGTCAGAATAGCAGCCACTTCCAAGTTTTTGGCTATTTTCCCATAATAGGAATATCACAGTTTGATGTTATAAAAGCAACCCCAATTCCAGTAGGTACAACTCTCCAACAACTCTTACTGGACATTAGATATATAGAACGATTATATCGCGATCGATTATAACTTTCAGCTTTACTTTCAACTCCATAAAGAAGAATTCGAATGATGCTTGAAATTAAAACATCACATGTTTCTCTGTTCTCCAGATGTTATAAGAAACATTAATAACGACGGCAACTGTATTATTGATGAAATATACCATAAGCCTGAAGCCAAGAAATGCAATACTTTCACAAATTCAGTGCTGGCTACGATATGGAAACAAATGGCCACACCAAATTCATGGTTATTTATTACGAAGGGATCAGCTAATATAGCTATTATTTGTGGTAGAGTCCGGGAAGATGTTGACATTATTGCAATAGGAATTCTCAGCTTGGCTCCCGACTGTATCATAGAAACCAAACAGCTAACACTAACAGCAATACGAGTAGAGCATAGCAGTTTAACCAGCTATTCCAAAGCTGTCTCACTCGATAGACACGACGAACCCACACATATTCAACATTCACAATTTCAGCCAGCATCTGAGTCAGTAATTTGGCACTCCGATGATTTAAACTCACTGATGACAGAAGAGAAGTCAATTCAGATTGAACTTCAAAACCAGATATGGAGAGATATACGACATCATTTTAGCATAGGTGGAGTGACAACTACCATTGCAACAATCCTGGTAGTTTTGGGTGTCTGGATAAGCATCAAATATCTAAGACTTCGAACAAGAGAGAAAAAGACCACCAACAAACCTGAAGAATATGAACTACTGTCCCTGAAGTCGACAAATTGAGAGGCGGCAGAATGCCCATTTATCCAAATTGGAACATTTAATTTTATATTTTTACCACACTGTACATATTAGAATTAATTAATTATAAGCAACCTACTTTTTATTATTGCAAATGACGATCCTCGATATGTGCAAAATCAGCATTTATTGTATATAAAAGGCGATCAATTTCCTTAATAAAATCAGATTCAAAACTTATTGTTTTTTCTCTTACTTAAATTGTGCCCAAGTCACCATTGGCCTAGCAACGCTAGTAGAGTCGTGAGACTGCGCTCTAACAATTACTTTGCTTTAGCCTTATTGTAACAGGTGCTCTGTCTGGTTACATTCGGCCCTTCTTTAAACCTGTAGCAAGTGCTTTGTCTGGTTACAGGTTTAATTTAACTCTTATAGCAAGTGCTTTGTCTGCCTTGGGTCTTCTTTCCAACTTACAGCAAGTGCCTTAGTCTGGTTGTAAGTTACCTATCTTACGCCCTAGTGCAACTATCTTACGCCCTAGTGCAAGTGCCGTGACTTTAAGTCCTGTCTGGTACTAAGGCCCTTCTGCTCTGCTATCCTAAACCATCAGGATCAAGCAGCAAATACCATCCAGAGAACCACAGTCTCCTGGAGCGTACACATTCGTTGATTCATCATATACCGAGTAATTTTTAGGCACTTCAGTATCGCCAGTTCACTACAATGCTTAGCAGTCTGATGCGATAGAGTGGCGAGTGGCCGTTATTTATTTAGGCTTTAGAGGGTAAACGGTGGTTAAAAAAAAAAAAAAAAAAATAGCACAAGCTATCAACATGATCAATCTCATGATTTTTGAATATGAATCACGAAACACTCTATATATTTACTTTGCATAAATTATCAAATAATTAGGTTTCAAATGACAAAACAATGGAGTCAAAGTTCAAAATGTATCAGCTCTTATGTAAATGAGTGTTCTATTTTTTTTAGCTAAGATGTTTATCCACGTTATCAAGTCCCTCTTGAAATTTCTCACTATTTTTCAGCAGAAATAATTTCACATTAAAAACATTAAGCCGCGTACTCACTGATAGCAGCAAAGGTATATGGTATATGGGTTTATGCAAACTAAAATGCATGCTTGATTTGAAAATAAATGGCGCATTATGGTCTTCATAGTACATTGAGTATTTACACCGTTGCTTAATCTAAGCTGCAAGTACTACCATACCTGAAAAATACCATCGTAACAATAACAGGCTAGAAATTAAAAAAAAAATTATTTATACATATAATCAAGGCATACAAAAATCGGGATTCTGCTTGGGATTCGTAACATCAACAAGTTATTATTGTGACTGTTTTCTCTTGCAAACGGTTGTTGTTTTAACGAATGCTGGTTTTGACCTTGAACAGTTTGCGAAAATTTAACAAACACTTGTGAACTCTAGCGATCATAACCAGCAATTTCTTTTCAATAAATACGCGGCTTGAAATTTCAAGTGCTTTCGATACAATCAAAAAATACATTATAGATAACTGGAAATTAGGATATGTATATAAATAAATTCGATAAGGTTTTGGAAGTACTGCCAAAATGAAACTTTTGCTACTGTGTAGTTTGTTGATGATTGGGTAAGTCATAATATATTGTCATGTAATGATAGTACTTTTATGTTGCACTTTTCAATTTAATTTCCTCAAAAATTTAGAGCTCTGGCTGACGATTATGTCGTCAACACCAGAAGATTCCCAAAAGACTTCAAATTCGGTACAGCTTCAGCTGCTTACCAAATTGAAGGTGGATGGGATGCGGATGGTAAGGGCGAGAATGTTTGGGATACTTACACACATTTGTATCCAGAAAAATCCAACTACCAAAATGGAGATGTAGCTTGTGACTCCTATAACAAATGGCAAGAAGATGTCGACCTCTTGGTAGGCTTGGGTGTTAATACTTATAGGTTTTCTATTGCTTGGTCGCGAGTTTTGCCAACAGGTAGATTATACTTGCATATTTTCATTGTTATCGTATTGAAAAATATTTATAATTATAGGTTTTGTCAACTCATCAAACCCTGCTGGTATCAATTACTACAAGAAATTAATCGCAGCATTAAAAGCCAATAACATCGAACCTTTGGTTACAATGTATCATTGGGACTTGCCAACTAATCTAGAAAATTTAGGCGGTTTCATCAATCCGGAAATTCAAGAATGGTTCGTTGACTATGCTAGGTTTTTGTTTAAAACTTTCGGGGATGACGTCAAGAACTGGATTACATTTAATGAACCTAAACAAGCTTGCGAATTTGGGTAATTTGACTTATTTTTTCTATATTTCAGTTTAATTAGGTTTTTTTTAGCTATGGTGCTGGTGTTCTAGCTCCATACATATCTAGTCCTGGAATTAAAGACTACCAATGCTCCCATAATCTTATTATTGCCCATGGAAAAGCTTACAGAATGTGGGAAAGAGAATTTAAAGAAAAACAAGGAGGTAATTGTAGATATATTTGGATTTGACGATATTTTAGTCAATTTTTTATTATAGGCAGGGTTACTATGGTGATTGACAGTAATTGGTTTGGACCAGCTTCAAACAGCACTGAAGATATTGAAGCTGCTGAAAGGAATATGCTATTTACAGTAAGTCGAGAACCTACCTTAACTTTGATAGTCCATTTCCTACCTTCTTCTAGTATGGTTGGTATGGTCATCCAGTTAACTTCGGAGACTATCCAGAAGTTATGAAAGAAAGAATTGCTCACCGATCTGCATTGGAAGGTTTTAATACATCTCGCCTTCCCAGCTTCACCGAAGAAGAAAAGCAAATTATCAAAGGAACAGTCGATTTTATGTGCGTTAATATTTATACTTCCTCTTTAGTGAATGTAAGTATTATTTTTTCTAAGTGAAAAGTTTTTGTTGTGTATTCAAGAATTTCTAGGCAATTCCTGAACCAAAAATTGTACCATTGAGTCCAACAAGAGATTTGGACATTGGAGTCAATGTCTTCCAACCAGAAGACTGGGAACCTACTGTTACTAGCTGGTTTAAGGTAAATTGTACACAAACAACAACTTAATTACTTAACAATTATTTTCATACTATTTTTTCTACCATCATGTTAGCTATCCTAGTAACAGTTTAACGTTGCATGAATGTCGTAAAACGCAACCTAAAGCTGAGTTGCATTGGTTTTCAGTAAGCTTTGACAGAGGGCTAACAAAAGGGCTGAATCAGATAAAGTTTCTTCCATTTCCCTCAGGTGTTGCTGCGATTATCTGGCACATCCAACATACATCTTATGTCAGAAGCCATTCGATAGAAGCAGTTTTTCATTAGAAACGGTATCTAATTTCAATGACCCTGCTGCTGCCAAGAGCCTCAAATTGCATATTCCTTTTTTTTGCATAAACTGGTAAATAGGAAACCTACTTGCCCAAAATTACCAAGCTTAAGTATTTGAGATTTGGATTTCCGTCAGAATCCTATTTGAATATTACACCCATTCGACAAACAATGGATTGATAGTCTTCATTCATAAGTAGTTCTTTAATTATTCAGTTATCTTGACATTTTTCAACTCCGAATGGTCCCTGAAGGAGTGAATTTAGCTGTTTTCTTTTAGCCTATACATCTCAACACTTTTTAACGATATTCGGTTTCTCGTAACTAGATGATTTTTTGTACCTGATATGTTTTATACTGACTCTTGATCTCCCCATTTTTTATTAATCTAAACTCCACGCCCGATATTTTTATTTTAAAAGCCAGTAACATAATTGAACAAGCATGTAAAACGCTTTTTAAAATAAAACTCTCTCATTTTTAACTTGTATAGATTCTCTTATATTAGTGTTCTATTTTATGTTTCGACTCATCTTCGCTAAAGATGGTTCACAAAAACTATTGAAAAATCCCTAAATAGCGTTTTCAATTAGGTTGTACCATGGGGGGCAAGAGAACTAATCAAGTGGATAAGCAACACATACAATCATCCAGAAATTGTTGTTACTGAAAATGGATACCACGACAATGGTACTGTAATTCATGATTTGGAAACCAGAGGCCGGTATCATAAAGTGCGTTTTTCGCTGACCTTATAAATAATTGAACTAATTATTGTTAATGTTATAGTTATACCTCAGTAATATGCTGGATGCAATTTATGAAGATGGTGTAAACCTAACCGGTTACATGGCTTGGGCACTTACTGATGACTTTGAATGGCAATATGGATACAAGTATGTTATTTCACTTATTGAAGTAATTGAAAAACTAATTACTCTTATTACTTTCAGTATTCAATTGGGATTATACCAAGTAAACTTTACTGATCCCGCAAGGCCAAGAGTTGCTAAGGACTCAGCTTCTTATTACAGACAAGTTGTAACAACAAGGTGTTTGGTTGATAACGATCAATGCACAGATTAGATTGTACTGGAAACTGTTTATGTATAAAATTATAATAATATTAAAACCCTGTTTAAGATTAAAGGTCCCATATCATTAGGCAAAAAGCGGCATGTTTTTACAACAAGCGCGCCATTTGAGGCAACCCTCAAACCACAATAAATAAAATTTCCCAACCCCCATTATACTGCCAGGTCGCCAGAGGGGTTTTTCTCGTGAATTTTCGTTCACATTTTATTCTATACGTTCTCCCTACAGTTACACGCGGACCAAATTTTATTAAAGAAGTATAAAATGTTATATGTGACAATAAACATGCACGTAAACCACATTCAAAATTAAACTGGGAGAGAGAGGGCCAGGATTACCAATGTGGAAGGTTCGAAAGTAAAAGCTTTTGCAGAGTATTTGAAAGGGAAGTCTGGGATGAAAGGGCGTTTACCAGGTTCGATGGAAAATTAATGATTTGGTATAAGTTAAATATTATTATTAAAATCGAATAGGTATAGTAATGTTTGTTTGATTTAAAGACCCTGAAAGCATTTTTCTTTTTTATTGTTTCCAGAACTCACCTCTTTCTTATTAGCCACAACTGAAAAGCTTAAATGAAAATCCCCTTGCGAAACCTTTTTTCGCGACTTTGTAAGCGAATCAAAACATTACAAACATGTTGTTTTATGATAAGGATGATCAAAAATATATTCAATACGTAAATATCTTCAGAATAGTTTCCTAAAGTTTGCAATTTGCAGTTGAAAAATGGAATTTTGAATATAAGTAACAGTGCGCATAGGTACCTACATCGTGACTAAAACAATAACACAGAAATCACAACAAAACTAGCATTGCTAGCACTAATACAACACTGTTATAACTAACGACTATAAATGTCTCAGAAACCTTGTGACTACGAAAATCAGGCAGGAGAGAAAAAGCTTTTTCAAAATCGACATTTTCTACCAAAACTATTAAAAATCACACTCTGCGACTCTTTGGTGCTCTCCCATTTCAACTTTTGTGACAGTCTTCATGGTCCATGTCTTACAGGTGCAGATAGTGCACGTATACAAAAAATGCAAAACTCCTGCCTGCGACTGATTCATGGAGTCAGAAAATACGAACCAATTAGTGGTAAACTTAATGAGACAAAATGGCTAATTATGGAACAACGGAGGTATATCCATTCTGTAACTTTATTTCAAAGAATAACTCTATTAAAATCGCCACCCTATTTATACAATAGTGAGAAAAACCACCTATTTAAAATATTATTTCTTTGAATCTTAACTTTTTAAAAAACGTTTACTGAATAGAAGTAAATGTTGCAACCATGTAATGCTCTGAGAATTGATCAGAACGAGAGCGCGCTGCAACAAAAATGTACCGAACCGAACGGGAGATAGAGAATACGCAACTAGACAAGACAAGCTGGAGTTGGTCCCTTAGACGCGTGTCGGGTCTCTGTAATTATTCATTATTCAATTTTTATTTCTATTTTGCATTAAACTAATTGTTCAATTAAATTTTTTATTAGTGTGTGTGTCAAGGAGTGATCACAGGTCAGTTGAATAATTGTTATTTTGTTTTTGAGAGTTCAATTATTTATACAAGTATAATTTTTTTCATTTTCATGTTTTTTTTTTTATTTGTTTATATCATTTTTTATAACATGTGCATTGTGTACGATTTTTGTTAAATACATGAATTTAACAAAAATCGTTTCATGCTGTAAACAACACGGATAAAGAAGTAAATTAAAACCTAAGAAATTATATGCTGTCTTTTTGTGCTGAGATTTTAATTTTGTTTATTCAGAACGTGCATTAGGGCCTTGTTGAATTCACTAACATTTTCCTACCCTGACGAGCGAATATCCTACGAAACAAAGGAAAGAGATATTGGCTCAAAATAACGACTATAGCTGGGTAGCATCCCGTATGGGACCTCAGTACCCTCCGGCAGACCGGCAAACTAACATAAAACTCTTCAGTATTGATTATAGGTAGTATTGATTGAATGTTGTGTGTGTGTAATTAAAATTTTAGCACAAGAATAGGGGCGGTACCTAGTTTCAATTTTTATAGAATGGACTCACAATTATTATTAAAATAACACAGTATGTTTCGATTTTTGAGGAATGTTAGATCGAGGGTTTCTCTGTTGTGCTCTTTCCCCTCGTTAGTACCAGGATGAGAACGGTACGATTTACTTTAATCATAAAGTAGACGTTTCCTAAATTTTTCGTTTCTTTTACATATTACAAGTTCCCTTAAATTTCCCAAATATTTGTCGGGCGCATGTCCAGTAAGTAAAATTGAGTAAGTTTCCACAACGTAGGTCCTATTTGTTGTTTAAAGGTAATAAAAATTCTCACCGTTCAATCTTACTGAACGAACCCGGGTATGTTATACCTACTACAATAGAATACGTTTTCGTACTGATATACATAATATTAATATAAGACATAAAACTAGTATAACTATTCCTCGCCAACGTATACAATTGTTCAAAAGATGCTTTTCATACAACATAGCAACTTTAATGAATAAATTTGTAGATAAAGTAAACTTGCCACCAAGAAGGATTAAGGAATACGTCCAAAAAAATGTTGTAAAAATGCAAGTTCTCCGAATCTTATACTGATATTGTTATTGCTTAGTAATATTTCGCGTGTTGCAGTGCTTTTCATCTCTTTATTTTTTGTTTCTTTGTATAATGCTAAAATATGTTTTCTTCCTTCAAGTTTTTTTTTTTTTTTTAGCTTAGTTAATTTTCCTAGGTTAGCTGAACAGACGGTTGAGGGGTGGTAGCCCTTTGGGTTCCTCATTTCTCAGTCGAACTGAAACTCGCCTAGAGTGAACTGAAAAATTTTGTAATTAACATTGTTGTTAAATAAAAGTCCTTTATCATTATTATTATTATTATTATTATTATTATTATTATTATTATTCAGTCAAATTGAACTTATTTTTTCACAAAACTATTTCTGCCTAGACTCCATAACTGATCAACTACTCAATGTCTGTTACACAACTTCCTTACATTGACGTATGGGATCCTTCTATAATTTTCTAGATTATTCCATTCACGAGCTAAATTCTATTTTCGAAAATTCTAGTAGGCATTCGGAATAAAGGAGGCGATCAATATGTACGAAAGACGAGTTTAGGGCCATCTCTGTTATTTTAGGCTCTTTGGGGTTATGTTTGTGTGGGTTTATCCCTGGGGTCCTGAGAAGTGCTGCTAGATTGTGTATAATTTCAACAACTTGAACCTCACAAATGTTCGTAGCGAACGAACTTTGGCTGGACTTTCAGCGAAAGTTTAATCCTATACAAGTCGTTGATCCTCTTGACGATTAGCATTGTCCTTCCAACAGTACGCAGTTTCGAGCTTAGTTCCTTCATTCGCTGTACCTGATTCAACCAGTCGAGGTCGCCTTCATTAGAAGGATTCGGTGGCTGCCGTTTGTCGAGTCTCATTTTAATTCTCTCACTTTTGAGTCGTACCTACCTAGTCTATTGCAATCGTAAACCAATAGTTGTATTCCTTTCAAGAGTTTAAAACACTAGAGCTCCTCGCTCCGGTGTTAGTCGACCCCGATTTGAAAGGATGAGATGCGCTGGCTTTCATGCATTTAAATGGTTTGAGTCGGGCTTGAGCACTCAGGTGCAACAAACACTTTTCGAAAGGAATAAGCGCGTAACGCCCCGTAGCTGTTCCGGAGCTCCTCCTAGATGTGAAAGGAATACAACTATTCTGAGTCTGTCCTGAAGATCAGTCACATAAACAGACAGTACAGTTTCGTCTCCATCGTCTGGTGATCTACCAAACATTAGATCTATGGGAATCTCAATTTCTCTTCCAGCCAAAAGCATTGATGGTGCATAGCAGGTGGATTCATTCTGAGAGCTTATATAAGAAGGAAAAGACGAAGCAGTTGATCCCAGTCTTGCTGATAGTCAAAGTGGTCACACTTGATAATACAAAGTAGGTACGTACGTTTATTATTATCTACGTACTATATTATATCGAAGTAGGTCTGTTGGATGTTTGCCGTAAGTGTCTGGATCTAGTTCATCTTCTCCAAATATATTTTGTCTTCTGCGAGTTAGTGCATGGCATTCTCATATAAAATGTTGGGCTTTTCCAGTCTCTGTTCCGCATAGTTTGTAGCTCGGTTGCTACTCTGAATTGATTACTGCTTAGTCGCAGGAGTCTTCTTGCCCTTTTGCTGCATGTCTCACGTATGAAGATTTTCCCATGCTTGGGTACTTGCTTCCAGTATTGAGCATGTTTTACTTTGATCCATTCTTTCAGCTTCTTTCTTACTGTGCTTTTTGCCACTCCGAGAGCTCGTTCGGGACCAAGGTATTCTATGGCCCTGCGTGCAAGTTCGTCATCTTTTTCGTTGCCCGGGATACCTCTATGTCCTGGCACCCACATCAATGTGACGTTATTTTGGTTTGCCAGTGCTGCCTGACTGTCTAGGTGTAAAGTGAGTCTGTTGTTTTGACAGGCCCTCATATTGTTGATTCTTGCGAATTGTAGTATTGCATATAACTCTGCCTGGAAAACAGTGCCATTCTCAGTCTTTGACCCATTCTAGTACCAGGTCTGGCCTTTGAGATTAGAGAGTGCATGTTGGTTTTCCTTTTCCCCCCTTTCACTAATTAGGACTTGGAAGGATATGTCGGGAAAGTATTTGGGAAGTGCATAGTCAGTTATCGTGTTGAAACTGTCAGATTTGTGACTCCCCTTATTTGTGTGTGGACTGATCTGACTGTTAGTTTTCTCAGGTTGTTTCGTTGTCTGTGGAGGCCCATCATGAATTTTGCCTGAATCACAATGTGTAGCGGAGGTACGTCTAGTAGAACTTCCATAGCTGCTGTTGGTTTACTTTTCATGCACCTAGACAGGCAAGTCTTTGCACCATGCCAAGTCTCATTCTGGCTCTGTCTTGTTGTGTCTTTGTCCACCATATCAAAGACACATAGCTTATTGCTGGCTTTACAATCATTATGTCAAGTTCTTCCGAAAGTTCTCTTGGCTACCATAAGTACCAGTTCTGACATTTCAATTACT